AATCGATATCCCCTTCCACTCATAGGAGAATTGATGGATCAACTTAAAGACGCAAAATACTTCACGAAGCTGGACGTGCGATGGGGATACAACAATGTGAGGATTAAAGGAGGGGATGAATGGAAAGCCGCGTTCCGAACCAACCGAGGATTATTCGAACCAATGGTGATGTTCTTCGGCCTCACCAATTCCCCAGCGACCTTCCAATGGATGATGAACGACTTGTTCAAAGAACAGATCGCAAGGGGAGATGTCACCGTATACCTAGATGACATCCTGATCTGCACCAAAGACAAAGACAGACATCGCCAGGTCGTTCAGGAGGTCCTGACCATCCTCAGGGCAAACAATTTATTCCTTAAAGCGGAAAAGTGCGAATTCGAAGTATTGGAAACCGAATACCTCGGGGTAATTATTAGTCAGGGATCGATTCGCATGGACCCCGTCAAAGTCAAAGGAATCACGGAGTGGCCCCAGCCAACGAAAAGGCGGGAGCTACAATCATTCTTGGGTTTCACCAACTTCTACCGAAGGTTCATACGTGACTACAGCAAGCACGTACGACCATTGACCCAACTCACGGGCAAGGCCGAATGGACATGGGGGGTAACTCAGGAAAACGCGTTCCAAGAAATCAAAAGGAAGCTAGCGGAGGAAGTGGTATTAGCCATACCAAATCAAACGGAGAAGTATCGCGTAGAAGCAGATGCAAGCGAAGGAGCAATAGGAGCGGTCCTATCGCAGGAACAAGAGGGAAAGTGGAGACCCGTAGCATTCCTGTCCAAAGCCCTCACGGTAACGGAACAGAACTATGAAATATACGACAAGGAACTTTTGGCCATCATGTTAGCCCTGGAAGACTGGAGACACTACCTTATGGGGGCACACCAGGACTTCGAAATATGGACAGACCATCAAAATCTCCAGTATTTCCGAAAGCCTCAGAAGTTAAACCGTCACCAAGCCCGATGGGTAACAGAGCTCGCCGAATATCACTTCACTCTCCACCACAAACCAGGGACCGCAAACAAAAAAGCAGACTTGCTATCCCGGAGGGCAGACCACGACCAAGGAGGCAACGACAATACCGAAGTAGTGATCCTAAAACCGGAAATGTTCCGAGCACTCCTCATGCCCAGTGAAGAAGAGGTTCACAAAAAGATACGAACCGCCTTGCGCGACGTAACCCGATGGGACAAAGGAATAGAAGCCTCCCTCCATCATCCTCGCGGTATCACCCAAAGGGACGGATTGATGTACTATGATGGCAGACTGTACGTACCCCGTGACGCCAAGCTACGGGGAGAACTCATCGCCTACCATCATGATCACATCACAGCCGGACACCCGGGAATTGAGAAGACAAAAGAGCTTGTACAAAGGGAATACTGGTGGCCCAAACTCAAAAATGATGTAGAACGATACGTAAAGGGGTGCGAAGCGTGTCAACGCACCAAAACCAACACCCAGAGGAAGAGAGCACCGTTACACCCGCATGCGGTACCCACCAGACCATGGGAACACATCACCATGGACATGATAGGCGAACTGCCCGACTCAAACGGGTATAACGCTATTCTTATGATTGTTGATCGATTCTCAAAGGAAGTCATCCCCATCCCCTGTTCCACCGAGTTGACATCCGCAGGATGGGCCAAAATACTCCGCGACCACGTCTGGGCAAAACATGAGATGCCACAAAAGGTTATCTCCGACCGGGGACCACAATTTGTATCCAAATTCATGAAGGAACTGTATGGGATGCTAAACATCCAAGGAAACCCCTCTACCGCCTATCATCCTCAAACCGATGGACAGATGGAGAGAGCGAACCAAGAAATTGAAAAATATCTCAGGATCTTTATCAACCATAGGCAAAACGATTGGAGCGAGTGGTTACCTCTTGCCGCGTTCCAACACAACAATCGAAAACATTCCGCGACTGGATATTCCCCGTTCGAAATCAATCATGGACAGAAACCTCATTTGGCCCCGCTCAACATCAAGGAAGGGACCAATCCCGCCGCCAGAGAGTTCGTGGCAGATATACAAAAGGTACACGAACAGACAACCAAGGCACTGGAAAAGGCGGCGGAAACCATGAAACGACAGTATGACAAGCACCAACGAGCGGCCATAGAGTACCAACCAGGAGAAAAAGTATGGCTGGACTCTACGAACCTATCTCTTCCCCGACCAATGAAGAAGCTAGGAGACAAGCGCGTTGGACCCTTTGAAGTACTCTCCAAACATGGCGCGTCAGCATATAAATTACGACTTCCTATCGCATGGAAAATCCATGATCGTTTCAACGAGAACCTCCTTACTCCGTATCATCCGCCGGAGTTCCCAACCCAGATACAGCCGTTGCCACCGCCACCAGATCTCATAGACGGACAAGAACAGTATGAAGTGGAGGAAATTGTGGACAGAAGAGAAAGAGCAAGAGGAAGGGGAAGAAGGCGCGGCACCGGAATCGAATACCTGGTCAAGTGGAAAGGATACCCACGAGAGGAAAATTCCTGGGTCGATGAGCAGGACTTGGACAACGCCAGGGATGCAATCAAAGACTTCGAACAAGTCTCCTTCATCACCAGACCCCCAGCAGAATGGTGGAAGAATGAAGACGAGTCAGATTCATGGTCCGAACACGAATCTGTAACTGAATCAGAAACCGATCACCCATTGGTACAGGCAATTCAAAAATACCTGGTAAAACCAAACACACCCTCTCTCGTAGGCGCCTACCTTCCAAAACCAAGTTACACTGCAGTCGGGACGACTGCCTTAACAGGGGGGTAATATTACGATTTCACGCTTTATCTTATCTTATCGTCCTCATCGTAATCCTGCTATGCCAGTTTTCCGGACTTGATCGCATTCACCATGAGGGTTCCGTGTGTTTAACGCACCGTTGCAGACACTTGTAGTATATTTAGCATGACCCAAACTGTATTTAAGTAGCTTGACTGCAGGTCTTAAACCTCAGTCTCGAACTAAAGTTTATTCACCCGATAACTTAGTCTGAACTCACTCTCGCTCTACTAAGCGATAGCTCCCTGCACGCAAACCTGCGAGCAACATAAAGCGCCTGACCGAAGTGCGAGTCACGCTTAGTTGTTTAATCTTGTTTGTGTAATCGGTCGCTAACAGAGACGTGCCTAATGCAAAATTGCAGTGTTTCATGGTCAATGTTTCACAGTCTGCACTGTGTACACGTCCTCGTCATACTCTTACATATCACTCGCATGGAGTACAAGGCCGCATTCTGCATAAGAAAATGAAGTATCATCTTATCTACTGCCATCGTTCAAGCCTTTCAGATTGTCTCCACTGTGAGCTACCCCTCTCTCCAGAAAAGCACAGCATCTTCATCTAACCCTCTCCCCAGGTATACATCCAGCCTTATTCTCATCAGGCAATTCCTGGCCAAGCACTGTAAACTTATGCCATGTCAATGCGGTTAACTACTATGCATGATAGGCCGACTGGGAGACACTCTCAGGATATCCGGTCTGGCATCAGACAGTTATCGCAATTGGTGTTGGATACTTCACTTGTGTCAGGTTCTTGCATGTCACCAATGTTCAGCATACCATCCAACACAATGCAGCAACCATGATATCAACCATGTTGGGAAGCTGTCCTCAAAAATCAATACTGCCAAGTTGCATGTCATCGCTGAGAGAACAGCAGCTGTCGAGGCAAGATTTTGTTGTATGCTATGAAGTGCTTACATTGGATCATGATCAAAACTCTCCTTCTGTCTTTGACTACCATCATAAAGGACTTCACATTGAGCCCCTCTCAGCTGTCAGCATTTCTTGCTTGTTCACTTCTCAAAGTTTCTTCGCATGGAGACATGCTCAGTCACAGAAGGTCCTTCTTTTGAATGATTTTTGTGTTCTGCATTCTTTCGACTTAAATGACATGTAGATGACAGGCCAATTTGTTGAATGGGAGCAACAGAAGAAGATGCGGGAGGAACAGATAGGCAAAAAATGACCATATGCAGGAAGAGAGGGGCATGCTGTGTAAGCAGAGGAGCATCGCTGTGGAGGGGACCATGATGGATCAGCTAGGAGAACATTCACTATGACTACTTCAAATCTCAAAATATTATGCACACGAGTGGAGCAGAAAGGTGTCTTGGCTCTATGATTCCAGTATGCTCTCTACATTCAGCCCACTGAATATGTATTGACATGACTGTCATTTGCAGTTGTTCAGAATGAGCAGTCATCAAGAAGCACAATATATGAGAGTCGACGTGAGCAGCAACTCTATGGAGAAGCTGTTCATCTGTGATGGCCATACCCATGCCAAAGTCTTCATCGAGGAATGAATTGACTCTGGTGCAAACATGCAGAGTCAATCAGCAACATGCCTGGCCTACTCATATACAAAAACCTTCCTCACCAGAAGATGCAGCACAATCACAGAAGCCCCTCATCAACAATTTTACCCAATTTCTGGGTGCAGAGATTCCTCGGTTTGTTCATAGTGGCTTCTCAACTCGAACAGGATCATGACAATACGTCAATGTGATGGTTTAGGGATGTAGAGATGGATTGGGAGGAAGGGAAGCACAGGATTTGGCATCGTGCAGGCAGAGGACCAGTCACGGTGGAAAGAAAGGGAAGGGAGAGACATCTCTGTGAGTGCGAGAGATGGAGAAGGTCACCATGGAAGGCTGAGGATCCAGCTTTTCAAAATTCCATAAGCGCATCTGCATCATAAGTGGTTCTCTCAGGCCTATGACTTCTTTGTAAGTCCATGATCCTCATCCCGCTAAACTCATATTGATGTCACCTTTATCTGTAGTTCAGGTTGTGAAGATGCTATGAGGCACACTTGATCTTGGCAATTAGGGAAGATTCATTTGTGTGAGTCCTCAGTACTTCTACTGTGTGCTAACTATTGACCTATATGGTTATCCGATATCCCTTCAACCTGAGTTTCTCAGCATAGAATTTGAGTACCTGTTGTGTCTCAGGTGACTAGGCAATATCTTCTTGGTCCAAAAGCATCTCCACTATGACATTCTGGCCAAGAGACGCAGCATGAGCAAGTAGAGAATGCCCGCTGTTATTGTGTAAAGTAACATTGATACCTGGTGTCGCAAGTAAGATCCTGACCACCCCTGGACAACTATGAGAAATTGCCCAGAATAGTGCTGAATCCCCAAATTGGTCCACTGCATTCAATGAGTTCAAGTGCTTTGACTCCAAGATCACCTTGACCACCTCTTCATGGGCATGAGATGCTGCTTCCATGAGAGGTGTACGTCTCATCATTGAATCTGCCCAATTGATGTCAACATCAGTTTGTGATAGGAGCAGCTTCACCATCTCAAGATGCCTTCCTTGTACGGCTGCCATCAATGGTGGTTCTTTTTGTGGATTAGCCCCTTGGATAAGAAGAGTTTCCACAATGTGCATCAAGCCATGATAAGCAGCAAATTGAAGTGGAAGGGATGTTGTGCTGTCTGTGCCACAGAATGTCGCTCTGAATGTGCCTGCAGCTACTCTGTTACGCTCTATACAGAAGAATGCGATGTTTTCAGTTTTCATTAAAAGTTCCACCTTCTTGGCATGGTATGCCCAGCAGCTGGATGAGTAGTGAAGGAGTGGGTTCATTTCAGCTAGTTGTTGGGGACAAGCACTGTGATCAGAAGAAAGTACTAAGTTGTCAAATGACATATATGTCAGGCAGGTGCATGTGATAGTGTCATGGATATTATCAGGAAACAGAATATCTTTTCAGGAGACAAAATACTCCTGTGTTGTATAATCTGGAATTTTCGTCTTTAGTTTATATCGGAAGGATTAAAACATCCATATGTATGCACAAACCTCATTATAGGCTCTGGTGCCTGAGAATGTCTGAACTCTGTATATGTGTGGTCTATGACAACAAGTCCAGCACAGACATTGCCCAAAAGGTCATTGTCATGAAGATTGTCAGGGTCTAGGGCTGCTGTATCCTTTTCCACAGCCAATGCATATCGCATTTCCAACACGGTCAAAGGGCACTTAGCAAATGCTATCCAGCCAAATATGCGATATGCAAGGGCTTTATCATGCATGCCTTGACTATTGACCCTCTCCAGTGTCTGGTCATAGGCATCTGCCATATTGTCCAGCAATTTATTGATTGCATCTTGAAGCATCTTGTGGTTTGTTGTCTGAGCCAGTGAGTCCATGTGCAGGCCTGCCAGAAGAAACCTACACACAAAGATGGTCAGTGTGCACAATGAATGTGATTACATGAGTGACCCACATGCCCCTAGCCTTCTTCGCAACTCCAGTAAGTATTGCCTCATGCAGATCACCTCACCCCTTGATGTGGCAGGAAAGATGGTCACAAGAGAGCCTGCTCTCAATATACAAGTTTATATCATTGTCAATGGTTCGGATATGCAACCTGGCATCTTTCTTAAAGAGTGATCCTATCATGACAATGTCTCTCAATGTCACAAGAAGATAGACATGGTCTCCTAATGACTTTATCGTGTTGATGAGCACTTCCCGATTATCCCCACTGAACTTGTCCAGTGCATCAAGAACAATGTAGACATGGTGGAATAATTTCAGCTCTTCTGAAAGGATTTCGATAAGAAGGTCAAGGGAAGGTCGTGTTTCATCAAAAAGGCACTCGTGGAAGAATGATAGGGTTGCAGAAGAGAAGCCATGGCCTTGACCCAGCTATTTCAATAGGCCATAAAGAAGGCTGGCTACAGTTTGTGCGGCTGCAGATCGATAATCACAGAAGATACTGAGAACAGCCCAGACAACTGTTTTTCTTGTGGTTCAGTGACTGCAAATAATTGATGATGATAGCAGCCAGGATGGTCTTTCCGACACCCACTGAAGAGATACATTAGTTTGAAGACAGGGAAGCTATCTAACAGAACAACTTATGGTTTCCAGGACACCACAGGCATGACAATGCTGCTGAACCTTCTACCCACCTTTGGAACTGTTCAGACTTAAGGAACCAGCTCCCAGTATTCCCCACCCACTGGCTCAGCTTCTCAGCTTGTACAGACTTGAAATTCAAGTCGGTAAGCCAAGAAAGTATGTGCATAAGCATTTTACCTGTTTAACTATCAGTAACTAGTCTGCAGATAGAAAAGCAAAGATGCATACCACCCTGGATCTTCTGTGTCTGTCTTTGGATTTGCGATATCTCATCATCCAGACACCTCACTCAGTTGTTGACTTTGGTGATGTTCCTGCCTATGAGGCTTACATTATGCTTGATATGTATCATATTATCTGAAATTCCATCGACCTTTCTGTCGATGATAGCCAATGCTTGGTTCATTGCATGAGACAAAGCCCTAAATATCATACTTAGCATCTGCCAGGCAACAGCATGAAAACCATTTACACATGATCCTGCTGTATGGCGACTATCATCAGGGACTTGATCCTCTCGATCCTCTCTAGAGCATCCTCAATGCTCTCCTTGCTGAATTTCCACAGCAGTCTCTGCTTCATCTTTCCCATACCATCTGATGCAGGCTCCAACTTCTTCTTGATATCCTTCAGTAGTACATCGAGTTGCATAAATGGACCAGATAGCCTTTGCACCATCACAAGCCATGGGTCACCTGCATCCACCATCCGAGTGAGCTGATCCACCACATTAAGATATATTGCAAGATTGGAGAGCTCCTTGGAGAGCTTGTCATGTTCTTTGGGTGTCTTTTTGACATCCTTGAGATAACTAACAATAATATGAGCTGCATCAACAAGGGTGATAATGGAGGAAGCGATTCCAAGAGCCTCTGCCATAGTAGGTCAATGATAGTGCAGTGTATGAAGAAGGGGAGGACATAAAAGCTGATTCCAATCTGAGTTATAGCTGCTGTACAGCATGACCCCATCGAATCGATCACAGCTGGGAGCAGGATCAAAACTCCCTTTTTAGAGTCTGTTCAGCTGCCAGATAGTTGGGCCTGGATAGTTGCCGTTTTGGAAAATCCAACATGATCCAACTATCCAGCACTTTTCTGTGCTTGTCCTGTGTGGTTCTAGGCTTGATACTGGGTGCAAGAGCATGTTAAATGTGTATCATGCAACTATTAAGTTATTTTCTATACCAAATTACATGTGCTACCGTCTGTAAACTGCAGAACTCAATTCAAGTCTTCCGAAGAAGTCCTGCTCTGTGTCATGATTTTCAGTGTACTGGTGCAAAAAGAAACAGTTATGACATGGCTAAAGATGGAAAAGAAGTCAAAGGAACCTGACTTGTAGGTCAACCAGGGTATATGGATGCAGAACACACAAGCAGGAAGAATGTAGTATCACAGTTGGAATTATGTGTGCTGAATTGAGTCTCAGCAGTGTCTCACATGCACAGAATGACATATATAAGGTACATAAGTATTTGAGATATGACAAGAGCTGTATTATTGTGAGGGGGAAAGTCCATAGATACTATTGGTGATGTTCAAATGACATGACTGTCAATTGACATGAAGCAGCAGAACTCAGGTCTAACTCTTGTAAACAAAGAATCTGAGCACTTTCGACACATCCACTGGGTTTCAGAAGTGAAATTACCCCCAGAGCCATGCAGGATGAGTGCAGAAAAGCACTGGATAGTTGGATCATGTTGGATTTCCCAAAATGGCAACTATCCAGGCCCAACTATCTGGCAGCTGAACAGACTCTTAGTCTTCCACCACCATCAAGGATAGGTATTGACTCATGCACATGAAGCCTCGATCAACCACCAGCATTCTTTGCCATCTGCTTCATGAAAACCTCGACTGAAGGTGCACACACAAACAGAAGCTCTTTGCTCATCAAAGGTTTTCTTCAATTTCTTGGTGCGGCAATTCCTCAACTCTGCACCCCCAACAATGGTGGCCTCTCAACTTCAACAATGCTTAGATGGCCTGGGATGAAGTGAGACCCAGAATTTGGCATTTTGCAAGTGGAGGGAGGGATGGGAGGGATGTGTCCATGGCTCTGTGAGGTGAGGATAGTTGTAGAAGAGGGATGCCAATGAAGAGTGATAGCAGTAGTCGGCATTGTGTGGGGTTCAGCTGGGAGAATGTCCTTCTTACCTGTACGACTCTTGGGTAAAAAGAATCGAATGCTCTTCTCCTCGTCATTGAGGATCCTGTATCAACTCGGGTATGTGCACACAAAGCCTCTCTCAACAACTAATACTCCTGGCCTGTTTGACTAGTGAAATCTTTCCTCATACAATGATATGTGTGCTTACAGAAGCCCTCTTCCCTTATCAACATTTCCCCAATTTCCAGGTGCAGAGACTTTTTAGTTTGCACCTCCAAGGGTAGCTGCTCTTCAGTTTGAGATGCTTGGATGACACGCCAATGAGATAGTTTTGGACTGAGGGAGATGCAGACGGATTGGGAGGAAGAAAGGCTCAGGCTGCATGGATGATCGGGACCAGTCAGAGAGGGATGTTTCTGTGACTGCTCTCTGACAATCATCATCGTCTAGTGTGTTATGAGTGACTTTCGGTATGTCTACTGTCGTCATCTCATTGGACTTGGACTGACATGACTTTCATCTGCAGTTTGTGGAAGACTGTCAAGAAGCACAATCGGAAGGAGTCCTTCAGCTATGTGAGCAACATCTCCAAGGAAGGCTTGTTCATTGGCATATACCATTGGTGGAGTTTTAAGCTTCAGCTTCAGCACTGTTGCCCCACAACCAAGTCTACTGTCTCTTCTCCGTCTATCTGGTTCATCTACATTAACTTCCCAATTACCATAATGCCAAGAACGTGAACTTCCTTCTGGATTAGCTTCTAAGTGTGACAACATTGATGATGGCTGGACTGTACAACTTGACTATCCCCTGCCCAATGCAGGAATACCTCAACAACCTGTTCTCATCACTCACTGGCACCACTTCAAATCTGCATTGTATGGTGGTGCATACAGGCAGGGCATCAATGCATTTTACACCTGCTACCCAGATTGCACTACAATCTAATGCCTACTGCAGACAATGTCCCTTTGACACATCCTCCTAATGAATATCCGTGACACCTCGTCTCTGGACAGAGCATCTCCCATGACCATTCTTTTCCACCACACAGCCTTCTCCCTTCCTCTGCTATGACTGCCTTTATCTGAATGTGATGTCCTTCATTGGACAGCTGCATATTGTGTCAGGTGCTAGTTAATGCAGGTTTGGAGAAGACCACATATGGAGGGGAAAAACGGGAGCAGCATGCTCTGGCACATCCATCCCCCGCCTTCTCCGTCTCCTTGATCTACATCACTGAAACATTTGAAGATGACCTTGTTACCAAACAAAACTGCGTCTGCTGTTCTCATCACACCACTATGCATTTCCCATGCATGTTCAGCCACTCAACCCATATGTACAACAGCCCAGTTTTCCCAAACATGAGACTGATGTAGTTTCACAGGCCAAAAGCAACATGTTGTGTGATGATATGGATGGCATGAAATTGGCAGTGTCCTTCCCCCCAACAGCATGCCTACTGGCCGCTTGTCTTCTCTCTGTACAATGAGACCAGAGATCAAACACCAACCACAATTTTTCCCCACTCCACGAGCTTTAATCGATATTCCCTTTCTGTAACGCATTGCTTCTCCAACCAAAAACGATATTATTTGCCTAGTCTCAACAAGACTCTGAAAGTAATGCCCACCAGTCTGAGTTCTCACCAGATGATTCTGCTTCCATCTCCTGATGAGATGCCTTGGTGCCCCAACCACTACATCTGACATTCCTGCTGTGCAATGCAGCAAGCGGCCTTCAATACTCATACTCAGATCTATCAGATCACATCTGGAACCCAGACAATGGTGAGACCAATGCAATAGTAGGTGAAGAGGGAGGAAGGGAGGTGGAGAATTTGGCATCGTGTAGATGGAGGACCAGCTATGGGTGGGAAGACACAGAGGCATTCATGACTGTTCATTGTCCCAAGGCATATTGCTAGTGAGGTTGAGCTCCTGCAAGGGCTTGTTATCGAGGTCCCTTCAAGTATTTGTCAAAGCTCTCCAAATTTTTGGCAAGTCTATCATCCTTATCCCACTGAACTTGTACCAATGCAGATGGTAGTTTCATGTGCAGTTCATAATGGTCGCCAAGAAGCTTGAATCGTTCACCAAAGCCATCGCTCTATCCTTCTTTCATGTGTCCTCTGTCCTTTGTGCCCAAGTCAACACATTGTCTGGTTCTCGAGTTCTTGCTCATGCCATCATCATCCATGTGTCATGCATGATCAGCCTCCTGCTAATTGTACAGGCCGTTGATCTTCATACCAATGCCTCTCTCTCCCTATCGTCTCTCCGATGTCCACCCATAGCTCACGACGGTGTTTTACGCTGATGACTTGATTGTTCCTCATACAAAAGTATCAGAAAACAGATGGAAATCAAAGACATGGCCGGCTGAATAGAGGACTCCAAGATTATCCCCTTTTTCTCGACTGTGAAAACCACTCTTTTTTAATCACCATAGTTGTGTACCTTCATCTGCAATCTCATTGGTCCCACCACTCAGCATATGCCAATGTTGCTCTTATGCCTATCAGTGTCATTCACATTCCAACAATACTAGTAACCCTCTGCATGCTATGTCTATTACGATTCCATGCTTTATCTTATCTTATCGATCTCATCGTAATCATGCTATGCTAATTCTCTGATTCTGACCGCATTAAACCACGCAGGTATCGTGTGTTTAACGTGCCATTACAGACTTGTATACTATATTTAGAACAACTCAAACTGTATTTAAGTAGCTCGACTGCAGGTCTTAAACCTCAGTCTCGAACTAAAGTTTATTCACCTGATAACTTAGTCTGAACTCACTCTCGATTCGCTAAGCAATAGCTCCCTGCACATAAACCTGCAGACAACACAAAGCGCCTGACCGAAGTGCGAGTCATGCTTAGTTGTTTGATCTTGTTTGTGTAATCGGTCGCTAACAATTAGTTCGAGACTTCCCTTACTCTTCATCAACTACCACGTTGATGAACAGTAATGAATGAACCCTATCGAACAAGCCGTCACCAACCTCATAGGACTACAAGGCTTTATCGCCATAGCCTACCTCACATTCTTATATGGATATGAATACCGACAAAGGCAGGAGCCAGTCTCCGAAGAAACTATCCCCATCGAAACCCCCAACCAGGAGGCTAGACGACCGGAGACACCCCCTCCCGAATACTTCCCCAGAACAGCAGGGGATGTCACCTACCACTTCATATTCCTCAATGACGACGACTTCATCACAGAAGACTCCGACTCCGACACCAGCTCCAAAATGGAAGGATGGCCCACACAAAGAGGCCCAGTCGTTGAAGAAGAAGAAGAGCGAAGAATCTACGAAAGAGGGGTGGACGAGCGTGTTCTCTCTCCCATTACTGAGGAAGAAAGCGAAAGGGAAAGCTCAAGAAGTGACCCCTGGAATGCCCCATCCCCCACCTCCACTGAGAACTCAGCCACCAACCCTGGATATGATTCCAACGGACAGCGCCTCTATCAAAGAGGGCTTAGACATCATCTGGGAGAAGGAAGAACAGCTGAAGATGGAACTGGAAGCAGTTCAGATGAAGAAAGCAGCGATGCAGAGGAGGACCACAATGGTGACGAGCTCCCAGGGCCACGCAACAACTGGTCCCCTCCAAGGCTGGACTCAAGAGGAGAAACCTGGGGCAACTACTACGCCCGCGATAACTCCTCAGACGAAGAAGGAAGTTATCTCAACCTCATCACCCGACCAAACACCCCGCTCATCATCAACGATAGGGCCGGGGAAGCCAC